TTCCCCAACACAGTGGCAGCAAGTGGACAAGTTATCAACCACTGCTCCACTCGCAGGCAAATACCTTCCTGAGTAAATACACCCAGCACCACTAAAGAAGTCATTTGTCTGGTATGTGTATGTCCCATTCTCATAGTCTTGGCACATGGCAGAGTTATGTCCCAAACAGCCCGCAGGAGCCCAGCACGCTCTGCTCACTCCAGGGTAGCACTGCACCAGCATATCAAGCACAAGCTGGTTCAGGAAGTACAAACCACTTTCCCACTGCCCCAGCAAGCTATGCAGCCATGTGCACGCATGGCACTAATACCGAAGACAACCGGTTCCCTCAATGTGTTTGGCCAACTTTACAAGCTAGTGCAGAAAAGCCACACGTACCCTTTGTGGTAATTTGCTGTCCTCGGATAAGGGGGAAGAGGAAGATGTATTCCCACCTCTTCCAATCTGGGCACAAACGGCATCCATGGGAACTGTGATGTATTCCACGCTAAATGCTTCCTTCCTTGGCATACATCTTGGCTCTCAGTCTTTTGGAAAAAGAAATTGAGGACAAAATGTCCCTAAATTATTTAAAAATAAAAAATAAGATTGATTTCTTGCCCAACCTTTGTTCTAATGCCATCTTCCAAGCACGCTTATTTTTAAAATTTTTTTTGTTATCACCTTGTTGAGGTTTGCAGTGTTGAACTTCCTTATTAGAGGTTCACTCTGTGGAGTTCAGTATTAGGGAGAGTTTTTCAGGGTTGTCATTTTACAAAAGGGGGATTAACAGGCAGTTGAACCAGTCAGTGAATATACTTGGAGCCAGAAAATATTTTCTGAAAGTTAGAAGCCCAAAGGCTTTGGTTTTTTGTTTTGTTTCTTTAAACTTGAAACACAACAGAGGGTGTGTAACCCTTACTAGTCTTTTAGCTCATTTCAAGACCAACACAGACAAAAGTCTGTTCTTTTCAAGCTGAATGTCCACTCTCTGCAACTAATACTCTTCAGTAAAGGTTGAGACATACAGAGGAAGGAGGACTAGAATTAACCATTACCTTGTAGATATTTGTCAAATGGGATAATGGGATCAAACAGGAAGAGTTTATTCATAGTAACACATGAAAAGTATCTTGGAAATGTAAAAGCAACCCAAACTGCAATCTGGTAAATGGCTAACACACCCTTTGGGGAGCAGGAGACTCGAGCTAAACAAGGCTTCCAATCTGCAATTAAAGAACATTTACCCAATTCAAATTTCATAAAAAGCCATGGCAGAAAAATTGGCAGTTTATCAGAAACAATTTTTTTTTGTTCACAACGGTGTCATTAGAAAGTTCTCCCCAATGCTAATACATAATGAAGCAGGTCAGTAGAGAAGCTAAACTCACCCTATCTGACCAACCCAGGATTCACAATCGGTTTGAAGAACAACAACTTCTCAACACCAATTATTGAAGGTAACTTGGTGTGTGCCATTACACCTGCTCTGTTCCATTAAAAGCAAGTTGTTGCTCTAGTTAATCCTTTCCACTGTAAAATCAAACTGGAAACCAGGTTTCTACCTGTTCTCTAACTTGCATTGATGAAGAGAAGTTTGAAGTCTGTGGCTTTAGCCTGCTGGGTTGTCAGTAGTTACACTGAAAAGCTGTAGTGCTGTTGCCATACTCACAATAGAGAAGTAGCAGCTCACACAACTACATGTCCTCAACTACCAAACCACAGTTACTCCATACAGCCATTTTACGGTATGAAGCTGGTGAACGGTCTAGAGAACAAGTCTTAGAACAGTGGCTGAGGTAACTGGGGTTGTTTAGACTGGAGAAAAGGAGGCCGAGCGGAGACCTTATCGCTTTCTACAACTGCCTGAAAGGAGGTTGTAGCGAGGTGGGTGTTGGTCTCTTCTCCCAAGTAGCAAGTGATAGGACAAGAGGAAATGGCCTCAAGTTGCGCCAGGGAAGGTTTAGATTGGATATTAAGAAAAATTTCTTCATCAAAAGGGTTATCAAGCATTGGAACAGGCTGCCCAGGGAAGTGGTTGAGCAACCATCCCTGGAGGTATTTAAAAGACATGTAGATGTGGCGCTTAGGGACATGGTTTAGCGGTGGACTTGGCAGCATTAGGTTATGGTTGGACTCGATGATCGTAAGGGTCTTTTCCAATCTAAATGATTCTATGATTCAATGAATACTTTAACTTGAACTAGTCCGGCCTGATTCACGTGAAGAAATAAGCACCCGCAACTCAAGCTAGGCTACTGAAGTGAGGACAAGTCATTAATCACAATAGCAGTTTAGCTTCCCATATGCAGTATGACAGCAAACATTGCACGTGGAGAAGTGAGAATATTATGTTCTTGTATTAGAAAGGAGATAGGAAGAAAAGCGATAGAAGAAAACACCACCACTACTTGAAATACAAAAACACTTTCCCAAAGAGCATAGTGTCAAAGATGAAATGCTCTCCCCTGATTTTATGGAATCATTTATCTTTACCTTTGACATCAAATGGAAACTGACTGAACTTGCAAGGCCTAAAGGCAGCTGCTGCTTTCATTCCATTCTTAAGTTAAACCACGCCCGCTCTATTTCACTCTTTTGTTGACTTGGTGACTTAGGCTGTATCAGCCCCTCGAAGCAACATGATGCTTGTCACCATTTACATTCTCCAAGGCCAAGCTTCATTGTCTCAAACTGTAAGCTGTTTCCATGACTTCCATCAGACCCATAACAAGTTATTTATTAGTCAGCACACCAATGTCCCCCAAAAGGCATTATCTTACATGTACACTACTACAAAAACAAATCTGTTTTGATTAATTGGTCTACCACATTCTTCAGTCCTTCCAAATACTCTTTTAAATTAACTATCATTTTCCTCTTTTCAAATATCACTCAGATAAGGGTGACTCATATCAAATGCTTAGCTTGCTCTGTTGTAAAGCTAAAATAACTGTCTTTAACCTAGAGATTGTTCTGAGCACGACTGGGCAAAAATCTCACAACACAACCTTTTCCAGTGGCATCAACACTGAAGACTAGATCAGCAACCCTGAGTACAAAGCCATTTGCCCAACCAAGGACAAGCACGCAGTATTGCTCACTCTTATGCAGTGACCAGCCCCAGTATAGATGAGACTAGATTGAGGGCAGCTAAAGGATTCAGTGTGGAGACTCTAGAGTAGCTGATGTCTCTGTACTAAGTAGCCAAAAGAAAGAATGGGGCAGAAGGCATTGCATGAAAAATAATAACAACGTACCTATATATACCTGTATACTGCTGTACAGTATCTTCTACATTCCATGACTTCAAACATATACTATGCTACCAGGCAAAAGGTAAAAACCTGGCCATATTCATGCCACTGTACATACAAATGAATAGTACTTGCAAACTCACTACTTCAGGGACATAGACACGGACAGCAAAAATGACATTTTTCAGC